GTCACAATTCCATATAATTTGGTCACAAATTCTATATAATTGGTCACAAATTACAAATTTTATATGTCACAATTCAAAAAATTTATAGGTCACAATTTGTTCATCGGTCACAAATTAAAAATTGAAACGTCATAATTTATTTTACGGTCACAATTCAAAAATTTTATAAGTTACAATTTGTTTATCGGTCACAAATCAGAAATTTTATAAGTCAGATTATTTTACGATCACAAATCAGAATTTTATAGGTCACGGATTATTTTACGGTCACAATTCAAAAATTTTATAACTCACAATTTGTTCATCGGTTACAAATAAAAAGATTTATACGTCACAATTTATTTATCGGTCACAAATCACAAATATTATAAGTCACAACTTAATAAATTGTCAAATTATCGGTCACAAATTAACAATTTTTTAGGTTATACATTATTTCTTGATCACAATTTATATTTTTCATTAGTCACGTATTGTTTGTTGATCACAGATTAACCAATTAAATGGTCACAGTTAAGAAAATAATTTGTGACCACAACCAACCTTCACGACACCAGCTCACCACTGCCTCTAGCAGCACCGTCATCACCAAAACCAGCATCACCACCTCACAACAGCTGAAAGCACAACCACCATCTCCATCATTCAAACATATCAACTCCCACCACAAAAAATCACCACTTCTTCACATAATCGCCGTCAAACAACCATTGCATAATTACCAAACCAATACCCATCATTCAAACCACCACTGCAAAACATAATCGTCGTCAACTGCCGCATATCGCGCAGTGGCCAGATTTTCCCCAAACTCCCGTCATCGCCACAACTCTTTTCCTTGCACTACCATCACCAATAACAACCAGAAAAATGCACTGCACAAATATCACCAGAAACAGATCACCACCGTCTCCCAATCGATTTGGCTTAAACTAATCTGGCACAAATTAAAAAGATTGCAATTGAAACCCTAAACTTTACTATTCATCCAGCACCACAGTAACAACCCCATTACCGGAAAATACCAACTGCAACCATGACCTACAAACCTCCATTGTAGAGCTTGCAACCCGCCATCGCAGCATGCAAATTTAGGCATTGTGACTGCACTTAGATCCGACCCAAATTGAAACCATGAACTTCACTATTCATCCAACACCAACGCAGTAACGTTGTAGGAAAACACGTAGTGCCTGCAACCCGCAACGCCAATAACCTGACCGAACACCACCACCTCACTATTGAGTGTGCGGCACAGCTCTGGCTTCGCAGCCTGTAAAGGCCGTTGTGCATTGACAAAGTGCCACAGCATCTCGATGCCGCTTCGAACACGGAGATCACAATCCACTGTGTGCAATGGTAGCGCACGACGCTGCATCGCCAGACCGATAACAAATAGAGTATGGAGAAGTGAGAAGAGAGAGGGGAGTGGAGGGGGAGAGAGAGAGGAGATGAAAATGGTTGGTTTGAAATTGGGTGGGGATGAGTCGGTAGATTTATTTTATAATATTATTATTAATATTAAAAGATGAATTATCATCTAATTTTTGAATAAAAATTTTTTAAATCTGATTTTTTAATTGGCCACTTTAAAACTCTGGGTTGATGTAATTTCCACTTATAGTTTTCCACTCTAGGAATCAGTTTAAAATCTAGAACGACCATATGGGCTCGTCTGTGTTGGACCTTGCACTTTTCTACACGGATCAGCCCAACCCAACAAAAACTGTGACAAAAAGCCCATAAGCAGCCCGTACACAAAAGTAACTTTTAAGCCAATATCCTCATAGTTAACGTACACAAAATTTTAGTTTTCTCTAGCTCTACAAGTACAATATGGTTCCTCTTCTAATAAAACATTCATCATCCTCATCTGCTAGAACCAGAAGACTTTTACATGCCAACAAGATGCCATTCCTCTTCATCTTTTAAATTCACTATCTAATAGGAAATTTCTAACTAACTTGAAAAGGCAAGATTTAGTGCTTCACAAAACAATAGTATCAGTATTTGCCTCTCCATGAATACCACTTCAGTTTCAACTGGAACTACAAAGGAGGAGACCCTAAAATTCCTCGTGTCAACCTCGGATCGAACACTTCAAACTGAACACGCCTTAATGTGTCCAGAATAACTTCAGCAGTCACATCCGGCAACAGTACTGGACGAGCTTCAGTTGGAATTGTTCCACTTAATTCCCGAGCTTTCTGCAAATGAACATTAGCTACGGACGCCATTTCAAATATTGCATTGCATAGACTCTCACGAGAATCCACACGAATTTCCCGCTATCCACCATGATTTACCAACAACCTATGTTTTTCTGCCACCTCAGTAGGTGTGTAAGGAAAATGACGGTTTTTGCTAGCATGGTATGATAGAGACTTGAGGAGCAATAAGAGGCCACTCGCCTTGCTAATATGCGATGCAGCATGATCTACTACTATGGATGTAATACCACCTGATTGAAGTGTTGAGTACAGGATAGTCGACGCAGTGTCCTCAGCATAACATTCCAACTCTTCCAAAGTTTCAGGAATATCATTAACCTCTCTATTGGCATCATTAATTCGAGCCTCAATGGATCGTTTCAGCTAGTTCTTGTTAACTTTGTGTTCAGATATTACAGATGCAAGTGCCCGAGTTACAGGATGCTCGATTAATTTGTTCGAAAATATCTCGTCAATTGCTTCTTTCCACCATAGAAGGCGCATAAGAACTATTTTAGGATCGAAAGCAACATCCATAGCTCTGGATGTTTCAACATTAAAAGCACGGAGTGCAAAAGCAGCCTTCCTCATGTTGGGCGGAAGTTCAAGAAGGCAAAGATAGTATTAAAAATTGGGGTTCCATCTTAAAATGTCAACCTTATTAAGAGGAGTAACCAAATCCTTTATAAGTTGGTTTATATTTACATCTTTATTCGATGTGGGATTCTATCCCTTAACATACCCCCGTAAGATGGTGGCTCGTTTGAGCAAACCAATCTTGAAATCCGTATGCTCACTTTTGGAATCTTGACCGGATCGAATTGCTCGTTAGAGCTTAATGGGCTCTGATACCATGTTAAGAATTGGGGTTCCATCTTAAAAGGTCAACCTTATTAAGAGGAGGAGTAATGCTATACGTACCGATATT